CATCAAGCGTCCAGCTCAAAACGAGATCCGACATCTCAACTTTCGATTTCAACTGCAGTCACCAACTTGCTTTTTACGACCGAAAACCGAGGTGCACGAATTCGGTTAGAACCGATATCAACATCGGCGCAGCATCAACAAAACCGACCTCTCCATCGGAACTCGACCGACTTCCAAAGGCCGACCGAAACCGACCTGCCCACATCACTGAGACTGACCTCGGTCCACGGCTCACGACAAGCCCCCGATGATCGATTTGCTGCTGGACTTCCGATTTATCGTCGGAATCGGCCTCGTCTTCTCCGGCTTTTAAATCGCTCCAGGGTTGAACCTCCATTACCAGATCTCTACAATTAACCTCGCGATTCCATCAAACGCAATTGAAGATGCGATCATTTTCCTTTGATTCTAATAGCCTCGTCTAAGCACCGATTTCTCACACTTGTCGGTGATTCTATGAGGAAAATGATATGAGAGGGGGATCTGTGGAAGCTCACAAAGTGACGACTCATTTGATGTTGAGGTCCATTTAATACTCTATCTGGGCCTAACGTTGAACTTGGCCCAACAACATTATCTCTTAAAAAATATTGGGCCAAGTTAATTTAGTTCAAGCAACGAGTGTCGGGGTCGTGATTATTCATTCAAACTGACGGCTGAATTCTGTATTAATGCTGGAGAAAATTGACATACCTATAACGGGACTGAGCTTATTTATTCATGCCGACGTTAGCCGGGGTCGAGTTCGAACACACTGTCAATTTATTATTCCCTTGTCTCCGAAGTCAGTTATCAACGCCGAGGTCGAATTTTATTCAAACCGATGAACACAAAAGTCGAATTCATCTATCTTGCCACGGGCCGAATTCATTTACTCAAACTGATAATAGCTGGGTCCGAGCTCATCCATTCTGAGTTGATTTACCATTCAGTCACCGACCTCATTTGCCCGACTACATTCATCAAAGCTGGGGCCAAATTCTTTTATGCCGCCAAAGGTCATTTATCTCCGAAATCTCTATATCCGCTCGCCGTTGAGCCTCGACTCCGGCTGAGCCGACGTCTCTATAT